TGGAAACTTTCCAGGATTTTTTTTTTTTATTTTGGAAATTTTTCGGAAAAATTTTGAAATTTTCTGGATAAAAAAAAAACAAAAACATGAATATATGCAAATATAAGTATTGCTTGAAAGCAATTTTTAAACAATAAGCACTTGTCACACAAATCACTGAATTTTCCCACACCATATTATGTTTTTATCTGTTTCAAATAAACCCTTCCCTACAAGGTGTAACGAATCAGTCCACTGAAGGCGAGCATAGTGAGAACCCAAGTGCAGTTTTATTTTCAGGTGATCCAAACTCCAAACATAATCCAAACAAGATACACAGACTTGACTTGACTTGACGAGGCATGAACAGATTTGATGAGACACAAACAGACTAGACTCACCAACAGCGGGTTACAACTTCAAAATAAAAAGACATGAAAACATGAACAAGAAACACAAACCCTGACATATCCCCCCCTCTAAGGGCGGCTCCCAACGCCCCAATGCAACATCCACCCCAACCAACACAACAAAACGTCCAGGAGGGTGGAGGACTGGAGGTGATCCAGGGGGTGGGATGGAGGGCCAGGCCCGTGAAGAGGAACAGGCAGAGAGGGGAGCCATGGCGGAGCAGGCAGATCGGGGAGCCATGGCGGAGCAGAGACATGGACAGACCACTTGACGGCGAGTTCATGAACGGCCTCATTGGCCGTGGCAGGACAAATTGTGAGTTCGTGAGCGGCCTCCATGTCTGTGACAGGACAGACAAGGCATGACGTGAACAGGCTTTGGGGAAGTGGCATGTTCCTCCTCCATGACACCCACAGTGAATGGTGAATCAGCCAGCAACAAGGCAAAGTCAATGTATTTTTCAAGAGTCCAGTGGGGAGTATTGCGTGGCATGAAACTTGATATATTTTTGTCCAAACCATAACGGAAAATGTCTTTAAGGAATGTTTAATTAAAATCCACTTGGTGATAGAGTCCACAAAAGTCCTGAACGTAATCCTCAATGGAGCGATTACCTTGACGGAGGCGAACAACATGATCTGCTGGGTTCATTTTGTTCTTGGTCGTGTATTCTGTAACGATTCAGTCCACTGAAGGCGAGCGTAGTGAGAACCCAAGTGAAGTTGTAACCTGCTGTCGGTGAGTCTAGTCTGTTTGTGCCTCGTCAAATCTGTTCATGTCAAGTCTGTTCATGCCTCGTCAAGTCAAGTCTGTTCATGTCTCGTCAAGTCAAGTCTGTTCAT